TGTCGGTAAATCTAAGCTGAAATATGATAATATTCGTGGTTTGAATTTTGCTGAGGTGCGCAGAAAAAATTCTAGCGAGACCTCGGGTTCGAGTTCGGCATTGAATGTTGATTCCAGAAAGAAATCACAGGATAGGAACTCAAGCAGAAGAAAATCAAAATCAAAGCACAAAGACAAGAGCAAGTTAAAACTTGGTCAGCAGGCAACCTGCTGTAACTGTGACAAAACTGACCACATAAAAATGAACTGCAAAAATCAAAGAAGATGGAGGATAATAGCGCTAATGTTGTAACTGAAGAAATATATGATGCACCATTGCTAGCAGTTCACATTTCTGATGATGACTGAATACTGAATTTAGGAGTTTCTTTCCATACAACTTCTCACCAAGAGTTAATGTGAAACTACGTTACAAGTAAATTTGGGACGGTGTATCTGGCTGATGGAAAAGTGGCTGATGGAAAAGCTCTTAAGCTCTTGACGTGGTGGGGATGAGAGACGTTGATATTGCACTCCCTAACAAGAACAAATGGACTTTGCAAAAGATCAAACACATTCCTAAGCTCAAGAAAAACTTTTTTATGTTGGGCAGCTCAATGAGGGTGGTCAGATAATAATATTCTCAGATAGCTCCTGGAATGTTACAAAAGGGGCACTGGTGCTGTCTCGGGGTAAGAAAACTGACACACTATATATGACAACAGGTTTACTCAGGCTTGGTCATAAGTCAGAGGGACATGAAAGAACTTCAGTTCAGAGGCAAACTACCAGAGCTGAAGTCAGCTAATCTCAACATGTGTGAAAGTTACGCTATGGGGAAGCAGAATGTCAGTTTTTTGAAAAGTGACAGAGCGTCGCTGGATCTTGTACATACAAATATGTGGGGACCTTCTCCAGTGGCATCCCTTGGAGGCTCTCGTTAATATGTCACATTCATTGATGACCACAGAAGAAAGATAAGATTTGTTGATCTACCAGATGTCACAGTGCATGAAGTGATGGTAGTGATGAGGAGAGTAAGTACGGGGCACCCATTCATATTGTTCTGCAGTCAGCTTCAGAGTCATTCACCCCTACCGCTACAGTTCGCAGGACGATCAGGAATAGACGTTCTCCTCAACTTTACTCACCGACTTTGAACTACATTCTGGTTATAAATGGAAGAGAACCGCAAAGCTATGAAGAAAACTTGCAAGATGAAAATTCGAGCAAGTGAGAGCTGGCCAGGAAAAAAGGATAAGCTGAAGTTGTGCACGACTTTAGTTGGTCTTCTGGTATGAAGAGAGAGGTTTTGAGTTGCAGAGATGAAAGATATCACGTTGAAGGAAAAGGTGATGCAGTCAGTGGATGATGCAGTCATTATCCTAGTCTCCAAAGTCAGCTTCAGAGACATCCACCCCTACCGCTACAGATCACAGATCAGTCAGGAATAGACGTTCTACTCAACGTTACTCACCGACCTTGAACTACATTCTGTTGATAGATGGGGGAGAACCGCAAAACTATGAAGAAACCTTTCAAGATGAAAATTCGAGGAAGTGAGAGCTTACCACAAAAAAGGAGAAGTTGAAGTTGTGCACGACTTTAGTTGGTGTCCTAGTCTCCAATAAGGAGAAGGTGAAAGATATCACGTTAAAGAAAAATGCGATGCAGTCAGTAGACGATGCAGTCAGTGTCCTAGTCTCCAAGTGAGAGAATTGTTAAGAATGTAGAGATTGGTCTGCCTGCTATCTTTAACGCTCTTCTCTTATGGAAAACATAATAATTGATTCTCATTTATCTGCCCTTAATTTATTTCCTAAGCTTCTTGTGCCTTCCCTATAAGGATCCCACTCAACTTTCCTTCTTTTGCTCTCCCTCCATCTTCAAGTTCGCAATTAAAGTCTTTTCTATACTCCCCTTGTGTGAGTTTTCCCATCAGGTGTGTGTGCTTACGAGATAAAGAGGAAGAAATGCAACCTTGCTTTTCCTGAGATCCTTCTTCTTGTATGTGGCTTGCGGCAGAAGAAAAAGAGGAAATTGAAAGCTGTTGCACTAATGTTTTTTCCTATAGCTCTTGGTTAGAAAAGGAGAGAGGAGAGGAGAGAGAGGAGAGATAAAGAGAGCGAGAGTTCTTTCTTGTAAGTCAATGTGATTGATGGTGTAAATTTTCAAGCAAATAAAATCCTTTGTAACTCTGTGTACGTAGACAATTTGTTGAACCACGTAAATCTGAGTGTTTTCGCTGTGTTTTTCTGTTTGCGAATTTTCTCATTCAAGCTTTTTATTTTATTGTCGTCGTTTTTCACAACACTTTGGAGATGGAATATCTGCTTTGAATAATATGAATTGCATTTGGGAATTGGAATTGGTGATGCCTCACTTCTGCCACCTAACTCTTCTCTTTTAGTTTCTTTAATTTTCTACTTATTGAATTTGGGTTGAGTTTGTGGCTGCATTAGAAATTTTGAGCTTCTTTGAAGATGGAATATCTGTTTTGAATCATATGAACATACATTTGGGAGTTGGGATTGGTGATGCCTCACTGCCTCTACTACTTAACTCTCAACTCTTAACTAGGGGTTTCATTACATCATCTTAGAGATTGATATTTGTTCTATAAAGTACACATTTATTTGTGAGCACCTTTGGGAATTCTCTTACTTAAGATTTAGTTTCTTTGGGAATTCTCATATTTGTAAGCTTCTTTAGGAGGTTATCTGAGCTCATCTCCCTATACTACAAATCTATTTTTTTATCAATTGGGAGTAATATGAGATAATTAAAGCAAGAGTTGGGCTTCTTTGGAGATGGATGAACTGCTTTGAATCATATGAACTTACATTTGGGAATTAGGATTGATAATGTCTCACTGCCTCTGCTTCTTAACTCTTAACTTTCATTTTTGTTTATTTATTTTTTTGCTTATTGAATATTGGGTTAGTTTGTGACTGCAACAGAAATTTTGAACTTCTTTGGAGATGTAATATCTGCTTTGAATCACATGAATTACAATTGGGAATTGGAGTTGGTCATGTCTCACTTCTTCTGCTTCCTAACTCTTCTCTTTTAGTTCCTTTAATTTTCTACTTATTCAATTTGGGTTACGTTTGTGGCTGCTGTAGAAATTTTGAGCTTCTTTGGAGATGGAATATCTGTTTTGAATCATATGAACATACATTTGTGACTTGGGATTGGTGATGCCTCACTGCCTCTACTTCTTAACTCTCAACTCTTAACTAACGTTTTTCATTACATCATCTTAGAGATTGATATTTGTTCTATAAAGTACAAATTTATTTGTAAGCTTCTTTGGGAATTCTTTTACTTAAGATTTAGTGTATTTAGATTTTGGTTGTATATTATATGTTATTTATAACCTCTTGCATTTATTGGATTAGATTGAATCATCTTTATTATATCCTACATACATAGGCTTTGTTTTAGTGGCCCACAAAAACCTTGGTGTTTATCTGTGTTTTTTAAATCTCAAGTGTTCTTTATTAATCATTCTACTTTGAACTTGGATGCTTTATCATATTTTAGCTATGTATTTAATTATTTTAAAAAGTTCCCCTCTCTTTACTGGAGAGGGGAGAAGAAGAAGAAAAGAAGTGAAATTTTAGAGCGTGTTCTGGAGAGAAGACCCGATGAGTAACCATTGGTCTCAGAAACCACCAGCCATCATAGATCACCTGCCTTTGTAGCCATCGACTCCTATCTACCACCACCCGCTGACACCATATATTATCGCCGACCATCAGCAATCGGTGACCATTGCTTGCAATCATTATAGCCAGACTAAGGGTGTTGTTGAATTTCCTTAACAGTTGCATTTTTTAGTTATAGGACAAATATAGTTTTCATTATAAGATTGTAACCCCATTCACTTTGTTGTAAGAGAATGACGTATTCATGTGCTTACAAATACATACAAATACATAGTAAATTAATTTCACTAAGCTATGTCCTGTGATTTTTTTTTTACTCAGCTTTTTTCCACATAAAAATCTTGGTCTCCTGTTATTTTTCTTTTATTTGCGTTGGATCCGTGCAGTACTGAGAAGTTAAATTATACTCTACTACCACAATTTTTTTAGCACACAACACTTATATAATATATCAATCTACATATCATGTTGAACAACTTCTATAATTGTTATCTTAAATCTATCCCTTCCACCAAAAGTCCTCATTATATTTTTATTTATTCACTAAAAGGTGTATTTTCTATCCTTTGATATAGATGTCCATATAATCAAAGTATATTTTCAATTACTCAACTTCAATAAGAACACTCCAACTATTGTAATCATTTTATAATTCATTATTTCTAGTTTTGCCACAATAAAATCAACCACTCCTTTACAAACCACATCTCATATTCAAATAACAAAGTTGATCATATTTGTTAATGGTAAATAGCACACTGTAATACAAGTATGCCGTTGAGCAATACCACATCACATAAAGCATAGCACGCGATGTTTTAAACATAGCTCAAAATAATAAAAAATTCTAGATAAAATGCAGCAAAATATATGCATGGACACTTACAAAAAAACAACTGCATTGAAAAATAAACTATCATGATAACGAAAATAACTAACTTTATAAATAAACGTACTGTTATAGAAAATGGAGAAAGACATTTATGATACTTCAGACTACTATAGCCAACTGAACATAATTATATTAAAGAATATCAGTATGGAATCGCTAAATCTATTATAATAACTACCAATATAAAAATATGTTCTAAATTTTTTTTCACGGTTAAATTGAATGAGATCTTCCATATTAATATATAAAAGTTTCCAAACGGTAGTTAATGCAGTTTAACATCGCTAAAACTCAGATAGCCACTAATCTGATCACCAAGGAGCTAAAAAAACTAAAATTACATGTCCCAAGCATATTCCAATCAATACCAGAGTATAGCAACCCCAATAAGAAATATCAAAGAATCATAGTAAACAATCATGGAAGTATTATGGAAAATTTAAACAGCAGAAACATACCGGTGACCAAAGGCCAGGCTCTGGAATATCTTTGTCTGGAGGAGAGTTATGTACGGTACCTGTTTTAACGACCAAAATGTCCTAGGAAAAAGGTAGCCAATTAAACGAGAAAATAATTTAGGAGATATATGGCTCTTGAACATGCGCAGAAACAGATAAAATCAGAGAGAAAAAGTGAATTCAGCAAATAGCTCCTTTTTTTTTTTTTAATAATTGGCTGATAGCTTATGAGAAATTGAGTCTTTTATAATTTATTATTGTTTAGTATATAGAGACACTAATAGGTTTAGGATTCGGGTATGCATAAGATTATGGTTGTGAGTCTTGGGTTAGGGTTTGAGAGAGATTTCCTACCCCTTGAATTGTAGAAATTGGAAGAGATCACCTACATTTCGAATTGTATGTGTTTATTTTTGTATTCATGTTGAATGTTTGATGTTTATGCAATAAAATATGTCTTTGCACTAATTTCCGTAGGAAAATCAATCTCGAATCCTATCAAATAGTATCAAAGCCTTCGATTCAGGAAGTGAAACTTATGGAGTTTCGAAAATCATGATACAGTAGCAGGAAGACAAAGGTAATGTTTGGTTGTAACGCCGAATTTATCTTAAATAAGATTTATCAAATCCAACAAATCCGGCAAGCTAATGATGGAGACGAATATCGCAAACAACAGCACCGTAAATTCTTTAAATCCGTATATTATTAGAATTTATTAAATTTAGATTTCACAGAGAGTTGGATTTAGTATTAACTTTTTTTTAATTAGATTTAAATTAAATGAACGGCTAAATCCTGTTAAAAGTATGCTATCAAACACTACCCAACAAAAAAAGATCGTGGTGTTCAGTGCTGAAACAGTCTCAGCAAGCAAAACAAAGGGATTGCGTAGGGAAGCAAGCGACAATCTTGTGGAAACTATTTGGAAAGGGAACGACACGCTACAGCGAAGTGGCGGCTCCTACGTGACCAACACTCGCAATACAGTCGACGATTGCAGCGAGTTGGGAAGTCGACGACGGGCTTAGGCGTGCCATGACTAAACAATCTGGTCGCTGCTTTCAGTAATGAGAATAATGCAGATACAGTCGCGATAGTCGCACGCAGAGGATTGCAGCATCCCTTCGTTGATCAGTCGCTATTTGAGCTAGCTGGGGAGGATTGCGACAGATAGGTGATGCCACTATCAAAGGGAAGCCAACGTGTAGGATCGTGGCGTCGAGAGTCCTACGCGGCATGTAGTTACGGGATAACTCACGTACAGGAATTTCGGATCACGGTTTTCGGAGTTTCGCGCGATGTCTGCTTTGAAACAGCATTTAGGGATTCCACAGCTTCCATCATGCGTGTACTGAGCGCTGAACTGAGTGTGTAGTTGCTCGTGATCTAGACAGTGGAGGAATCAGACGGGATTGAATGGGAGCCCAAAAAGGTAGATGTTTTGGAGAAAACGCTGGCGGAAGAGGTTAGTCAAATAGGGTCTAGAATGGAGGAGCATTTCCATGTCATGGAGGGGAGATTAGAGAAGATAGAGAGCCCTAGAAGAACTCCCTAGAAGAAATGGTAAAGAAATTTGTGGAGTCCCACACAAACCCGCCGCCAGATCAAGTGGCAATCAAGCGCAGCAATTAGAAGAATTTATATGACATCAGGGCATCATCGTTGTCTCAAGTGGATCTGGGGCTGCAAGATCAGGTGAAAGAATTGGAAGCCGGGTCAAGCATGAGTACTTAGAAGGAGTAACACAACAGCCAGATGATTGGACAAGAGGCAGCAGACAGAATAGGATGGAAGGTGATTTGGGGCAAGGCAAGCTCAATTAAAAGATTTTGACCTGAGACAGAGAACCATGGTCGGTAAGACCCTGACAAAGGGTTGCATCCAACCACACCATTGTCCTTTGTTGCGGCAACCTTTCTAGCAGAAGCAAATCTAAAGCTTATAAGGACAAGCGGTCTGATTATGGGATGCCCCAGACTTATGGAAGAAAATAAATCAATTTGGTTCGAATAAGTCCCGCTTTACGGTTGGAGTTAATTTCGGTCTAGAAATTTGTGAGGAGACTCACGTATGAGAAAGTTGAAGATGTCGATCTTTGAAGGAAATGATACTTATGATTGAGTTTATCGTGTGAAGAGATATTTTGCTATGAATGGCTTACGGAGGAAGAAAAATTGATGGCGGAAACTCTGTGTTTTGAAAAAAAGACCGGCATGGTATCAATGGAGAGAACGTCAGTCAATCCGGACACTGGTAGAATTCAAGGTCCGGCTGATGGAGCACTTCAGAACAAGACAAGATGGGGATTTACACTAGTAGTTATTTGCATTGGTCTAGGAAGGATCCATCATGGAGTATACAGGGAAATTTTAGATGTTATCCGATGGTTCGAAACTTGAAAGAGATATCAAAAAAAAAGTATTGGAAGGCAACTTCATGAAAGGGTTGGAAGCCAGAGATTCGGGCATCACTTCACCTGCTGAGACAGCGAGGATTGGGGAAAATTGTGAAATTAGCGCGGTGTTAAAGATAAAAATGAAATAAAATAGGCTATAAGAGCAACACAAGTGGAGCACCATATCGAACTACCACAACCACTACTACGATACAAAAAGCTCAAATATTGGAAGTCTAGAGGGGGGATGTTTCACAAGAATCATTGGCCAAAACCGAGGGAAACACTCAAACGCCTTACAGAGATAGATCTAGGAGAAGCGAGTCAAGGGGTTATGTTTTGGGTGTGATGAAAAGTTTACCCCAGGACATCGTTACCAAAATCATACATAACAGGTTCTCATAATATGTAACGAGGAGGCAAGGGATGAAGAAACAAATCAAGTTGTGGTGAAGGAGGAGAAAAACCTTCATTTTTTTCACCTTGAGAACAAAGTTATCCTTTTGGAAGGGGAATATTGCTACACCGGTGCCAAAGAGGCAATTTAATATTTTATTAGCCTTAGAGCAATTGAGTCTTATTATTTATTATTGTTTAGTGTAAATAAACTCTAATAGGTTTAGGGCTAGGGCATGCATGAGAATATTGTTGTAAGTCTTAGATTTAGGGTTTGGGAAAGATTTCTGACCTCTCGAATTGTAAGAATTGGGAGGGATCACCTACCTCTCGAATTGTAGGTGCTTATCTATATATTCATGTTTGAATGTTTGATGTTTTTGCAATAAAATATTTGTTTACACTAATTTCTGTGGGAAAATCCGTCTCGAATTCTATCACGCTCGTACCTAGCATCTAAATTCAGCAAGAAACTTGCTAGTACAAATTTTTTCGCGGTAAAAAATGTAGAGTAAGGCCAGCTCAGTAAAATCAAAAGTTTAAAAGAACCTGAAAAAAAAAACATTTAAATCATCAAGCTTGCTCAAGGGGTTATTTGTTTGGAAGTAATAAAAGTGTAGAGTGAAGCAGATTTAGGAATTTTAAGATTTCAGGGATTTTGTTAAAGACAAATACACAATACTTTTATGAGTGATTTAAAATACCCCTCAGACTATTTTTTATGCATTCTAAACTCACCCAAATTGGATGAATTTAAAATTTTCTAGATAACGAAGCAAAAGAGATTGCAAGTGGTCACAATCTTGCCCCCAACCACCTAGATATCCATGTCATCACCCTTTTCATGTAATTTTCGGCCATCGTCACCATCGAAAGATGACAAAACTGATTGAGCACCTGTTGTTTTTCATCTTCGCCTCCTAGTACACATCTACCATTTGGCTTCTCCATTCCATCATCTACCATCTATGCCGACCACATCAGTTGTGGCCACCACCATACCAATATTAATCACGTGGTCACTACTACAAGGGTTGGTAACAAATTTTAATTCATTTTACATCCGGACCAAAAAAGAAAGCTTGATTGAATTTATTTCCAGCCAATCCAACAATTTTGAGTATTTAAGAAGCATTGTATTTACTTTATATTGTATTTGACATGTGCAAATATTCTAATTACAACCAAACAATCCCATAAGAAAACCCTAATCAAAAGCAAAACTTTCCCTCTTACAGTTATTACTATATGCAAAACAAAAATAATAAAAGCAAATTATAAAAATCAACAAAACATTAACATATTCCAAAGTCACTATATACATATTAAAACACAACTAACCTCTCCAAAAGCCTCAATGGCAGCCAGCCACTCATCTGAGTATGGAACAGCACTTAGGTGATGTTTCAAGAGGACAGTATCTTGTCTCAAATTGTCAAAAGATATATTTTTACTGCAATAAATTTTCACAATAATCAAGCATAACCAACTTTCTGTTAAACCAAAAGTTCAGAAACATATGAGATACTTACGCTGGCATCGATCCATTCTCTTCTACCATGCTGGTCTCATTCCTTGACTCACACAATTGAAGTTCATCTTGGGGATGAAACTCTCTGGATGCTGCAAGTTGAACATTCTGTGAGGAAATAGCTTGCAATTCTCCAGTTTGTGATTTTCCAGAGATATTTTGTTGGACTTGAGATATTGTTTGTTGAAAAAGTTCCTCGCCATTCTGAACACCACCCTCATCTGTTGGATCCTTCCTAGGTTCAGTGTACAAACAAGCTTCTTCTGAAAAACCACGGATAGAGTTCCCATCTATCGCATCCTTGTGCAAAATAAGCTCACCATTCATAACTGGGGCATAAACATTTAATGGTTTTGAATTGCTTTCATTTAAGTTCTGTGCGAAGTGCATTTCAGATGAAGTGGAAGAAATTTCAGCAGCAATGGAACTAGAATCACCGGTATTCCTAAAACCATTACAATGCAAAACTTTTTCGATCATCCCACTTCCCTCAGTCGAAGTCTTACTGCAGATCTGTGACATGGAACAATCATCATCAGCTAATTCCCTAGTTGTTGTTCTTCCAGTGTAAGGTTTCTCTCGAAGTACTTTTCGAGTTTTCTCATCCATTTTGTGGCTAACTGAAAAACAGTTTGTCGCAATCTCTTTTGCAACATCTAATGGACAATTTGATCTCCCACAAACATTGGAAGATATGGTAGCTTTTCTATCAAACTGTTTCATCTTCATTTCAGTATGAGCTTCAAAGTCTGGAAGAGCAAGATTTGAGCCTTTTGCAGTCAAGAAAATAGTTGTGCCTCTATAATTCCTAAGATAGACGTTGGTTTTAGATAGGGCCGTACCTTTTTTTTGTTTTTGCTCAGTTTGAGCAACTGGAGGCTTAGACAGGGACACGCGCTTAAGGTTGGCAGGTTTTCTCAGAGATGCAGAATTATCTATGGGCACTTGAGAAGTTCTTTCGAGTTGTTCGCTGTGTGAGGAAGAAACCTTTTTCTGTAAAATAGAAAAAATTAACTTAGTGAAACAAAACCACGACCTTTTAGCACATAGAAGGTTTACTATGCAGGGAAATTAAAGACATGAAAAGACAAATAGATCCATTATAACTTCTTTTGATTGATGGAGAACCTCTTAAAAGTACCAAATATTTTAATTAATCTATAGAACTTAATATTTTACTTTCATTGTTTATTTAAGATTTAAGTACTTTATTTGCGTGGCAAGTACTAAAATATATATACAAGGCACTACAGAATATTCTGTCAACATGTTTGGTAAATTTCAGTACTGTTAAAACTGCACTTTAAAAGAAAAGTGCAGTGGAGTGGTCAAGAGGCGCTTCGCTTCCTTCTCATAAAGTGTTTGTGATGCACAACAACATATGATTATCTTCGTAAATGGAAATTATATTTTATGTGTAGAAAAATTGTCAGGCGTAATAATATAAAACTAAGATAGAATGCTTAATTATAAGAACACAAACACATCAAAATGCTAAAACAGAGAGGCCCAATTTTCAGAGGGATAATTAATAATAGGAGCTTACAGTCATGAGAAACATAGAACCTGAACAAAAACCCTCGTTAAATAAAAGCAAAATTTCTGGATAGTGTATTAATCTGCCTTGTAAAATTTTGACCTAAAAACACAAAACTCTCAGTGAGAGACCAAAGAGTATTTTCAGAGCTTTACATATATAATGAGTGAATCAAAAAGCTTAGCATGTAGAGAATCCATGACAGTGTTACATGTATGAGTTGGATGCATGATCAAATCATCTTAAACTTTCATGGAACTTAGCACAATATTACTTTATATAAAATGTTAAGGTGAATAGCCAAGATTTATCAATCAGATGTTATATGATTGAAAAATATGGCAAATAATAATGAAAATATAAATCAATCCTTCTAAAGGGTTGTACTCTATCTCAAAGTATACATTACATATAAAATATATACAAGAAATGTTGAAACATATATGTAGAATTATGTTACATAAAAATGAAAATAAATAGTGCAGATACATAAATATGAATGCATGCATCTACACATATTTACATGGATAATACATAAATATAGGTATAAAAATATATGGCACATAAAAAAAATATCAAAAAAAACAAATTCTCCGTGTTGATTCCAATCAATGACAAAAGAAGACTTAGGATTGACGTTATATTAAGTGCCAAAAAAATAAAATTATGTAAAAACAAATAAACGTACCCCCAAGTGATTAGAATAAGGATATAATGATGAAAATAAAATTTCCAAACCATTTTATTCATTATAAATTTATGATAATATTTCCAAATAATTTATATATTATAACAAAATAACTAAATTTATACTGTATATACTTTAATTACAATTGATAATTTGTTACAATACAATAGCGTATATATCATGTAATTTGGCATGCATTATTTTAGTAGAAACTAATAAATTATGAACTATTTGTTAATATTATGTATAGAAATTTATTTTATATTATAGCATATTATGTCATTATTTCTATGCATGTATAAACATATGAGCAGGGATTTGTAAGTGCCATCATAACTTTCAAAAAAATTGAGAGTTCTAAATTTCTTTGAATAGCAGACCTGATTTAGTTAAAAGGAAAAGAATTAAGAATTAAGAATACGTACCTGTTGAAAGAAACCCAGTGACGGAGAAGGCCTCCTCAAGCCTGAAGACTTAGCTTGGATTGGTGCAGGAGGCAACCCAGGAACAGTGAATCGTTGTTGAGAAATTGAAGAGAAAGTTCCATCTGAACCAGAACAAGTTGTCTCCATCTGTGATTTAGTTGATGATGATGGGCAAGGATTCAGCTTCAACAAGATCGGATCTTTTTCAAATAGTGGTTTTGCTGATTTTCCTTTTTCCAAGCTTCCATGCGAGTAAGGCATCCTGAAGGTTGATTGCTTAGTTTGGATTGGTGCAGGAGGCAGCCAATGAAAATTTTGTGTTTTTTCTTTAACTGAGCAATTCATGCCTGAGGGGCCAGACCAACTCATCTCCCTATGAGATCTATTTGAGGATGATAGGCAAGAATTCAACTTCAAATCTTTCTCAATCTGAACTTTTGATGCCTTTTCCCTTTCCAACATTCTATGTGGAGGTGGAGTCAAGAATGCAAAATGTACATTTTTCTAAATAAGCAAAGTTTCAAAATAATTTAAGATGGTAAAAACAATGGAAAACTCACAAAATAAGGGATTATATATAGTAGAAAGGCAGCACGTCCAGAAGGATACAAGCATGCTACGTTCAATTTTGGTGGCATGCCTTTTGAGGATGGTGCCCTGCTAGAGGTCTGTGAAATCAAATAAACAAGTAAAAGAAAAATAATACCAAAATTAATATTTACAAAAACGATAAGTAATGCCATCATTGGAAGTTATGACTATGAAAGATGAAGATTTCAACACTGTATCCTTATTTGATACTTTTCCCCTCTTCAAATTTACTTGATTCTTTAAAGAATTGAAATGAGAAGATAATGAAGAAACTAAGTAGGGGACCAGAAATCTTAAGATTAGTAAAAGAATAGCAGAAACAAAATTGAGATTTTTTCCATTGTGGTCGAAGAGAGAGAAAGAGGACATGAGAGGATAAATGAGTCTACTTCCCATGATGAAGAATCTTAGGAGGAGAAAAATAAATCAAAGGAAATTCTTTCAATTCATAATTCATATTAATCAAAATAGCATGCATTCAACTCCTATTTACAAAAATATAGTAAGAATGTAAAGTTAAACTAACTTCAATTCAAATATAAATAACTCCTTCAAATTCTACCATTTAATTTTACAATAAAGATAATCCTAATAAGTAAATATAATAAGACTGAAATAAATCCTAAAATAATCTAAAATACTCTAGAGTATATAGAATTATTTTCAATGTGTGTCTTGTATTGCCTTAGCTCCCCTAGAACATAGTACACTTCTTCCAAAGATTTAAATATAGGCGCTTTTTATAGTTTAATTGCTCTGTTGTAGGAGGCCATAGAACTGCTTCATTAACATATCTTCAATCTTCAGCATGTGCAATCTAAACATATGGAAACATTATTTGGAGGCTTCAACTAATATAGTACCATGAACTCAAACTACAATTCTTGAAAGCAAGCACACAACAATCATGGAACATAAGTAAAATTCTAAATATCTGAAGAAGAGTCATACAAAAATAATTGAAATTCTAACATGTGAATCTGGTTTCTTCATCTCAATAATAACAGAAGATGTTTCAATATCAGCTATAGTCTCTCTCGGGCAAAATATCAAGTTTTGGCATTTGAATAATCAAACGCAAAACCTTACCATTAGGCTTGGCAATATCCTCAATTAATGATGAAGGAGCATCATCATCGAGCTTATTTGCAAAGCCTGAATTATCATAATAATAAGCTTCATAAATTAAAATCTTCATGAAGAGCAAGTTTCTAACTTCATAAAATTGAGATAACTGCGCAGGCTTCTAAACTTACAGAGTCCAAAAAATTGGTGTATGATGTGATTTATCATTGTTATAAGATGATTTTAGATAAGGATGGGTAAGACGATCATATGTGTGACCATAATCTATGTTAATGACAATAATCACATTCTTAATAAACATTCATTATATAAATATTAATAAATATCTGAAGGGTCAACTTTAGCATATCTTAAAACCGACCATAAAATATATAATATTGTTGATGATTACAATGGTAGTTATAGTTGTGAGATATGCATTATAATCATAAGATTCATTGTAATATGAATAATTGTAGTCACATAGATATGAATAATTATGATCCTGTGTATAATCATTAGTCATATGCATGATAAATGTATGATTCCTTAAAAGCTTTATCAAATACCTTGAGGCATTTTTTTAAAAATCATTATCCTTCATACTCATGTTATACCACTAAGTATAATAGAAGATATTTGATGCTTAAAATCACACAGAGCACATGCATCACTTATATCTTAAGCAAATCCATAAAAATGTTGCAAACAGATGCTTGTGAGCTTGATGAAATATGTCAGTAAATCCATAATGCTAATTCCAAAGTAAATAAAAAAAATCTAGCACCAAAGGCAAACTTTTATGTTTGTGATGTATCTCTCATGCCTGATGTATGCATCCCATACAGGTTGATTTGTTGAAATCTACAAAGGACATGATATTCGAGAAAGAAATTCATGACTTAAGGATATAGGGTTACGGGTTTCATTTTTTTTCTTCACTTTTCTATTCTTTTTATTTGAAAATTGGTGTCCAGGTGAGTGGATGAGTTGAAGGAAAGAGCACTTGTAAGGGATGGATATATGCGGCAAAGATTTAAATGCACTTACCTGCAAAAAGCTCAACTTGATATCATCCTAAGAGAAATTTGGCTCAACATTATATCAAACTAAGAGAAGATTTGACATGGTGCATCTCCTTATTCCTTTTAAAATTTGCTTCATTTCTAAAAGCATTGAGAAATTGAATAAAATGCATCAGTTTCTTTAAGAAAATGACAAGGTGCATTTCAGTATTTCGGTTCCTAAAATTTCAAAAACGAAATATTTCAGGTCAAGATAAGGGGTCGTTTGGCACAGCGTTTTCCTAGCTTTTTCGTTTTGAAAACGCGGGCGATCTGTTTGGTTGTCGCGATCAGCAGGCGTTTGGAAATACACACAACTCGAATAATATTATACACTGGCCGTGAGTTCGACCCGGAGGCCCAGCGTTTGGAGTTAAACTTTACTTGCCTGCCCCCGTCGTCACTCTTGCCCCTCCCATGCCCTATGTGTCTTCGATCCTCTTCTCCGCTCTCATCCCACATCTCTCACGCATCTGACGCGTCTCTCTAGACTGTGTTGTTTTCTCTTCCTCCTCTCTGTGATCCGTAATTGCGATGCTCTGTAAGAAATTTTCGTAGCTGTTCTTGCAATCCCTAACAGTGTTGGCTCGTCTGATTTTCGATAAAATGGGTTTTTTGTGCATAGTATCATGCTTAACCTGTGGATAATTGCGATGGAATGACTTTCCTATGATTTTTAGGGTTTTTCATTTATTTGTTGGAATGTCGAGGCCATAGAGTTTTTCTATGGCATCTTTTGTGGATTTTTGGCTTCCTCCTCTCTGGTAGAATTTCAAATGCATGGCATGGCTTATTTGTCTAGCTTGGTGAAGTTTTTTTGTCTGTGGAAGGCATGTTAAAATTTTTGATATATTCGAGTTTTCTGTTGGAATGTCGAAGCCATGGAATTTTTCAATGGCTTCTTTTGTGGTTTTTTGGCTTCCTCCTCTCTTTGAGAATTTCGAATGCAGTTATGGTATGACATATTTGTCTAACTTGGTGAAGTTTTTTTGTCTGTGGAAGGCAAGTTGAAATTTTTGGTATATTCGAATTTCTCAGTTGGATCTGAGAACTGCCAATGGATCTGGTTTTCCATTTGTAATATTATGCTCTAATGGGGAATGCATGAAGTTCTCAAATTTTTCTATTATGATCTAACGGGGTTTGCAATTTTCAGTATGCAATTTCTGCCAAAGATTTCTCTATTACACTGTGGTGAAATGCATGAAATGGTAGAAGTTTGAAATTGATTTAGCCTTGCTGTGAGATGTTATATTGGTTTCTTTTTTGAAGGAAGTTTCTTCTCATTTACTATTCAGTAGAATGGTTCTTTCTTTACCACATAGAAGCTAATAATCTTAGAAAAGAGATTAATGGCTTGGGTGGGTGTTGGTGATGGTGGTTGAACTTGGGTGTGTGTGTCTCTTCTCTCTACTGTTGGGTGTTGTTGTTGGTGTTTGGGTATTGTTGCTGGTGCTTGAGTGTTGGTGGTGGTGGCGGGACTTGGGTGAGTGTGTCTCTCTCTACTGTTGGGTGTTTTTTCCATTTTTTGTTTATCTCATGTTTTCATGTTTTAGTTTTTTTTTGGTAGGTTTGGTGTTTGTTTTTCTTGGCGCTTTTTTTCTTGTTCTTTGTTTTATTGTCATTATCATTGTATTTCATTATCGATTTCTATTATTAATTCCATTATGGTTAAGACCAAAGAAGTGACTTCGTCAACAATGTGGGATAAGTAACAAACATATTTTGCAACCTCTGTATTAAGGTGATTGAGCTTGGAAATAGACCCACCACCACCTTTAACAAGAAAGGGTGGCAGAATATTTCCAAAGAGGTTCCAAGAAATGACAAGATGAGAGTATGATAGGTTAAAACTTAAGAACAAGTGGGACCGGTTTAAAAAAAAAATTCGAAGCTATGGAAGGAACTGAAACGGGGATCCACGGGATTGGGTTGGGATCCCATCACGCGGACTGTTGATGCTTTAGAGGGGTGGTGGAGTGAGAATTTACAGGAAATAAGTATACCCATATATGCTTGTATTTCCCTTTGTTATCCATGTTATTCTGTTTCAAGTAATATGCTTCCCCAAACATTGCAGAAAGTGCCAACCGCAAAGAAATTCAAGGTGAATGGAATTGAGTTGGACCTGGAAGAGAAGTTGGACCTCATGTTTAAAGGGGTTGTCGCGACAGGCATGCATGCATTCAAACCAAGTGAGCTAGGGTTTGCAGACATACCAGATGACTTAACAACCGAGTAGGTTATTGGGTCAAGAGAAGGCACAAGCATAAACTTGAGGGAGCTCGAGTCCACATGCCAATCAAAACGACCCAGGGTGGAGAAAAAGAAAAATTGAAAAGACGTTTTCGTCAAAAGCTTAAAAGATAAGTTGATAGATATATGTGCAGCTTAGTCTGGTCCTTCAAATAACACCATCGTAGATGAATTTCTTGGAGTTTTAGATTCACATCCTGAACTTTTGGCAAATAAAACATTCTATGTAAATTTCGTTAAGTTACGTGTGGACCCGGCCCATAGGCAGATATTCATGAAGTTGCGCCCCGAACTTTGTGTCCAATATTTACGTTTGTTTATGGAAAATGATTCAATGATGATATTGTCTGATTGCTTGGTTTTTTCCCACTGTTTATTTGTTTCGATTGTTTTTTTTCTTTGTTGCGAACAATAATATTTCGTCATGTAGTTATTTCTGATATGGAGTTGTTAGTATTCAGTTTTTTTATATTTTTTCTTAAAATTGTTTGATCATTACTTATTACATTAACAAAACTCTTTTGCATAATGGATTGGCATTGACTTCGCTGGAAGAGAATTGTTGTGGCGATTATGATAATTATGATAATGTTGTACGAACCACTCTATCGTGGATCGAACTCCATGCATGACATCGTCTTTCATCGGTGATAAATGGGTCGGCGAGATGCTAGAAGAACGCCCCACAAGGTTCATTAATATATTCCGCATGTCAATACCAATTTTCTTTATCGCCTCCACGAACTTCATAGCAACCATGTGCTTCATAGTTCCTCCAAAACGACTACAAGAGAAGTGTTATCAATAACACTCTATATTCTATCGGAGAATGAATTAATGAGAGAAGCGATGGAGCATTTCCAGCATTCCACTGAGACAATCAGTCGATATTTCTTTGTGGGTCTGAAAGCACTAGTCAGTTTAGTAGCACAGATAATTAGATCGGAGGATCCGTCATTTGAGACAACTGCAAAAATTGTCATTGACCCGCAGTATATGTCATTTTTCAAAGTAAAGTTCATTCACGCATTACATTCACATGTGAATCTAGTTAGTTTGTTGGCAATAGCATTTTTAACTATTTTAACATAACTGTATTGTAGTCATTGACGGTACCCAAGTGGATGCACGACTATTCAACCATGAAAATGTCGCGTACATTGGCCGGTGTGGATCACCCACACAAAATGTGATGAGTTTCACATTTGTGATTGTCGGATAGGAAGGGAGTCCACATGATAGTCGATATTTTACTTATGCGACAAAAAATAGCAGACGGTGCTTCCCTCACCAACCTCCAGGTTTGTTTATTTATATACTGCATTACTATTTTTATTAATTGTTACTAATAATGGTTTTTCGACCATGTAAATATTATTTGATCGATGTTAGGTATCTATTATAGAGGGGAGTATCTGAAGTCATTTCCAGATATCAAATATCACATTCCAAATTTTGAGATATCAAGCGGGGCTACCCGTGGAAGAAAAAAATGTTTAACAAGCGTCACTCCTTACACGGCATGATTGAAAGAACATTTGGGATATGGAAAAAAAAATGGGTCATCTTACATGATATGTCGCATACCCATTTCCTAAACAAGTAAATATTGTGGTGCCCGCGATGACGCTCCACAATTATATTCGATGACATTACTCTCGGTCGAATTCAGACTTCATTATGGCTGACGACTATCAGATGCAGATCTCTCCTGAAGCATTTGAATTTCACGTCAGATACTCTATAACACTGGCAGAGAGAGAGCCACCGAAATTTGACACCCGGGATGGCTTAGGTGCAACGGAAATGACAGTTTTGAGAGAGCGGATCATAGATGCTGTCGTCGGATGTTGACTCGACATTTCATCTTTACTTTCTAGACTAAGTTTTTTTTTATGTATGTTGTATTATTGTTGCTTTTGATTTTATATTATTCACATGTTTGAAAGAGTTTTTCTTCATTTTTTTTTTGGGTTTTTGAGGTCTATGATGAGACATATGAGAACTGTTTCATTTTTTTCTTTATTGTTTTGTATTAGTTTTTTGCTTCTGCGGTATAAAATATATTGTCAAGACGGTTCTGTTACAAACAGCATTACTTAACAAGAACAGAATGTTCATTTATCCACAAATCAGGTGTATTCAAATAGATGCCCCAAACAGTCAGCAAACTTATCCGGATAAGTCACTAATCATTAGAGATTCAATAAGTTGCAGCTGCCCCAAACAAACTCTAAGTATCAAAGCCATTAAATTTACTTTCATATAAGTGCAATACAAAGCAATCAATTAAAACATGTATCAAGGTTGTCATAAAGCAAAACTAACGATTTTGCGGCCATCATAAAAAAAAATTGATTGAAATACCCTAAACCAATTTTTTCCCCATTAAAAACTACCAAGAGAAGAGAAAGACAACCTCACAAAGCATACTCTTGCGATTAGAAAGAGAATGAGGGCATGATATGAGAGAAGATGACCATAAGTCAGATTTCCGATGAGAAGAAAGAGAAAAATAAAAAAGGAAAATATTCATCCCTAGCAGACAATTCTTATGTATTTACATATCTCAAACCTAAACTTCCATATTTACATGTATGGTACTTCAGTGCTTTAAGTCTATGCATGAAAATGTGTATTTCACTTTTAAAAAATGATAATAGTGTTATTTTTTATGTGATATTAAACATTTGGGTGATATGTGAGTAAATATGAAAGTTTCAGTGTGAGATATGGAAATAAATAAGAATTTTGTGCTATTTATGTAAATGTCCCAAAAAAATTTTCTTATTTTACTTCATATTTAAGGCAAGTCCAAATAGCATTCATTCACCGCCTATTTATAACAACAGGATTATAAAATAAAATCAAACCAACTTAAATTCAAATTTAGATATCTCATAAAAATTCCATCTTTTAATTCTAAAACAAAGATAATCCAATTACTTGAATGTAATATTAAATCATAAAACAATCTAAAACATTATAAAACTAATCTAGAAGCATTTCAGATGTTTGTCTTGGATAGATAAAAGGAGTTCTTAACTAACCATAGATATTCGAGGTCCATCATGTTTTGATTCTTCTGAAATAGATAAAAAATTGGCAGCCCTCTTGTTTCTACTTCTAGACATTGACCTTGTATGCACTCCACTCAAAGAATTTTCTTCAAGATTATTAAGCGGGGGCCTCTTACTAACTTTAACAGGCTGCATGATTGACGAGCTCTCTACATAGTTCTTCGATAAAAATTCACTGCTTGACTTGGTGGCCGAATCAGTGATTATCGACAACTCAGATGAATCTAGCACACCTGGTCACTTAAATATGGTCAGAATCTGAAAATCAATATTTTCAAGCGGAGTTTGTAAAACAAGCCACCTTCTTCGGTAAAGAAGGCCGGGTTCCACGCTAAGCTTTTCCTCAAGTTCAATCTACCATCCTTTCTGCTCCTCTTCAATACCACAACTGTTGAGTTTACTTCATCCTCAGGACAAATGTTCTCGTCGCCCCTCCCATCGGGTGTAGCACAACAATGGCTCTCTGGAAAGTACTCATTCAAGGGACCTGCATCACATGACGAAGACAATATACCTATCTATTCCGTAACCATGCTTTCACAAAGAAGAAGCATATAAACTTCACGATTTGGTGATTATGGAGCACGGACGCAAGGAATCCATGAATGATAATGCATTTTTAACTTCTGCTAAAAATCTTCAATACCTTATTCGACAATTAGAGTTTCACCACTTTTGTATGACTTCAAATAGATGATGATAAGAATGCACAAGAAATTAACCGAAAACATGAAGTGAACCCTATCTAACACCACTTATAGCTGAGGCCAAGAAGCAGAAGCCCTAAACCTAGATGAAAGTAAAGAAAGAAAACTGGTACCTGGCGAACTTCTGATCTCCATTGTGGCGATTCACAATTTCTGCTCCTCTAACGGAAAAAGAAACGCCTTCGTGTTCCTTAGATCCCTGTAAACTCGCGTATTATTTTGGTTATATTTTCTTCCTTGTAATTAAATTGTATATAAGCGGGAAAATAGGCGAATATTTTTCGAAATAACCCTAGCTGAGCCGTTTGTGCGCATCGCATGCATGAACCGAAATACAGTACATGTTAACCAGCCAACCAACCAGGAGTGGTGTGTTATTTTGATGAGAATTTAGGGTTATTTGGGGCAGCTTATTTATAAGTGCAGCAACATTTTTGAAAACTCCCTCCAACCGTTTAGTTTGCCCATTTTTAAAAATATTGTCTGTCGCGTTTGGGTTTTTTACACTAAACGCAGATCGGTTCACCCGCGAACCGCATTTTAGGATAAGCTACTTATTCTGAAACTTATCATAAAACGCACAAGCTGCACCAAACAGATCTTTAGGCCCGTTTGGGGCAGCTTATAAGTGTGGCGGCGTTTTTGAAAATGTCGTTGCACCGCGTTTGCACGGCTTTTTTTATAATCCCGTTTTGAATTTAGAGAAAAGCTGCTCGCGGGTCGATACCCGCGATATCAGCGTTCGAAACGCGCGATAGGGAAATATTTTACGCGCACACCCTTATCTGTTTGCCCTAAAACCTTATCTGCTCGCCTCCGCCTCCAGCTTCGCTCTTCCTCGGGCCGAAGTACCTCTCTGCTCGGGCGCCGCCGACTCTCCGGTCTTCCTCCGCTCCGCCGAAGTCCCACACTTCCTCCGCCGAAGACCCGCGCTTCCTCCGCCGACTCTCTGGTCTTCCTCCGCTCCGCCGAAGCTGCCATATGCCAGGAGTAAAGCGGAGAAGCTTCCTTGCTTCCTCTGTAAAGCGGAAAACTCCCAAAGCAGAAGAAACAGTCACAGCAAGCACAACCTTCTTCTCACCCGAAGCTTCATTGTCAAACTGAACCAGAGGTTCCATGAAGAAGGGCTCAAACTCCATGGAATGTTTGTTGTAATCATTTTTAGAGAGAAGCTGAGAAAGCTCTTCAATGCCTTACTGCTTGCCCATAAAGCTCCTCTGGTGGTTGGTGAAGTTCTGTTTATAGTTGAATTTGTGTTTTTGAGCTTCTTAGTATGAGTTCCATGCGATGGAATAGATTTTGGGTGGTGGTGATTAAATTCGTGGTTTCAGGTCCCCTTTAGAGGGAAGCTCGGCGGCTGTCCGCCGGAGGTTGCGCAGCGGTTTAAAAGGCTCATATGAAATTTACTTTCAGGCTCAGTTGATAAGAAGAGCAGGCAATACTTCTGTGTTAATACTTCTGTGTTATTTTCAATATATGAAATTAAAATTTTGATGAATGTTTGCTTCAAACGATGCAGCTCAATCATGTTGTTAGAATAAATAGGTTGCCACAATGGGTATTTTTTTATTTGTTAAAGAAGATGTGCAGCAAGGTGTTAAACCAGCAGGACTTAACAACCTTCTGAAAAAACTCCTGTATTTTAACTCAGTTTTAGTGAAGGAAAAATCTAAATATATTAAGTAAAGTTAATTCTGCAAATTAATACAAAGATATATAATCGAAGATTCTCATTTTTGTTTGATATTGGTGCTTGTAGATTTTTACTCTTCCTATGCATTGGTGTTGAAGGAGCTTCGGCAGCCCATACCTATAAGGGCGTATATAATGGCGTACAACATTTCTCCCATATTTGTTTGATATTGGTGCTTGCAGTTGTTGTTTCCATGATATATTTACATTTTTAACATCTAAACAAGTGCTTATATTGGTCTCAAATTATATTGGTCTCAAAATTGGTCTCAAAGAATATATTGGCTTCCATGATATATTTACATTTTTAACATCTAAACTTAAGTGCTTATATTGACTTAATAATCTCCAAATTGAAATAATTTTGGTCGATGCCCTCGCCAGCATGAGCTTTCAATCATTCTGGATATGCTTGTATTCGGTGCTTTCCATTCTTTCTCTCTCAACTTTTTAATTATTTTGAAGTCATCATAGCACTCCTTGCGTTTATATTTTTTTGACAGAATTACATAGCTGAGCTTCTATGCCTTATGCTTTCAAATCATTCCTTTAATTTACCTTTCCATGAGTTTAAAAAAAAGAGTTTATCAGAAATATTGCTTCCAGAGACTTTCTTGTGCTATTGTTCTAGCTTTACTATTTTATCAATGGGTTGCTTTTATCCTAAGTCGTTTTCTATTTCTAGAACTTGATAGTAATGAGGATGAGCATTTTATTCACTTTATAATTATCTTGGATTCTTGAGGCTTCGAGGAAGGAATGATGGAACTTGATTAAGGTGAAGCTGAATTAGAAATGTTCAATACAGTTTTTGAATAGCTGAGGAATGAATTGAATTTTGTGAGCATTTCATTGGAGACATTACACTCCTATGTATGCATCAGAATTTCAGGTTATATTACATAACTTTTGCCCATAAAATTATTAATTATATTGTGATTAGTAATTGCGTGATAATTTTCTTGTGACAAAATACACAAGTATTTAACCATGTTTCAATATCTTTATCTAGGAAAATAGAAGTTGATAATCCAATACTTGCAACTGCAACTTGGAAGGCGGGTGCAACTAGAGCGTTCGATTGCTTTTATAGTGATCTTTAATTTTGTTGTAAAAAGAACAGATTTTGCTGCACAGATTATTCATTTAATTAAAAAAAAAATTCAAATAAGATGTTTACAAAAAGCACTACCCAAACAGCTAAACTGCTTATTCAGAACAAGGGCAGACTGGTCAAATTTTCAGGATCAGCTATTTTTCGTAAGCGCTAACCAAACAACCAGACAACTTATCCGGATCAGCTGCTCATCAGCAGATTATCAGGATAAGCTGCTTATCAACAGAAGCTGGATAAGCTGCAGCTGCCCCAAACAAACCCTGAATTCAGTCATGTTATTAGTAGAAGGATTTCTTCCTCTCTTTTTTTCAGCAGGTGAAGCAATGCAGTTGAAATCTCCTCCAACAATCCAGATAGTGTTTGTCAAGCTTCTAATTTTGTGGAGCTCCTCCACAGTTCAGTTCTTGCTGATTTGGAGGATCCAGCATAAACAAAAGTGGCTTGGCCAACCTGGTTTGCCATGTTAAAAGAGCAGTGTATGATTTTTGAATGATTGAGCAAAATCTTGCAGTTCATTTCAATTCTACTCCAAATCTAGATTTTGTTATTTAGATTAGTGTTAAAAGAGAACCTTGGGAAGGCTTTAACATATTTCTAAATATTTTGATGAACCAAAAGTTCCAGGATAACCAAGCACCAACACTTGTACTTCTTATTTAAATACTTTAATCTTTTTAAGGAAGGAAGATCAGCAATCCCCCTTATATTCCAACATATCAAATTAATCATGTTGTTGGGGTATGGGAAGAGGGTTGGGACCTAGATCTTGTCCTTCCCCTGGTTGTGTGAGAATTATTTATCCTTTGCTCCTTCTGCTATTCTCCATTATTTATTTCAGTGTCTTCTTTGAGCTTCTTCTTCCTTTTTTTCTGTTGTGTTTGCCATTCACGCGTTGGATTGCTTTTACAGTGATCTTTAATTTTGTCGAGAAAAAAACAGATTCTGCTGCACAGATTATTCATTTAATTTTAAAAAAAAATTCAAATAAGCTGTTTGCAAAACGCACTAACCAAACAACTAAACTGCTTATTCAGAACAGGGGCAGAATGGTCAATTTTCCAGGATCAGTTGTTTTTCATAAGCGTCAACCAAACAGCCAGACTGCTTATCTGGATCAGCTGCTCATCAGCAGATTATCAGGATAAGCTGCTTATCAGCAGAAGCTGGATAAGCTGCAGCTGCCCCAAACAGGCCCTTAATCTAAAACTCTAAAATAAGTGTGGAAGTACGTGAGTTCTTTCAATATTTTGAAAATTGGCTCGGACATGTCCTAATAAATTATATATGTATTTAAAATGATAATACATAAGGTATACATCTCACTCAACTCGTATGTATTTAAATATCTAACACCTAAAATTCAATTTTAACACATGTCATTTTATCTATGCATGAAAACATGTATTTCACTTTTTAAAAACTAAAACAGTGATATGTTATATGTGATATTGATAATTTTGGTGGTATATATGTAAAATAATAAGAGTTTGTGTTAGATATGTAAATAAATAAAATATTAAATTACATACGTAGCACCCAATTCTTATGGATTTACCTATCTTACACCTAGACTATTATTTTTGCACACATAGCACTTTACATATGGATGAAAAGATGGATTTGACAATTAAAAGCTCATAATGAGTTCTACTTTTCGCTTGATGACTGTAATTATGAAATTTTAGATGTAAGATAAAAATGAAAAATTTTGGGTGCTATATATATGTATATATATATGTATGTATATATATATGTTGAAGACCCTAAATAAAATTGAGGGGTTTGTATGTAAATTAATTATTTTGGTAATAATGATTTTCTTGATGTGATACGAGTAATTTGTGCGGTACAAATGTAAAAGATAGTGTTTAGTTGTTAGATATATAAAATACATAAAAATTAGTTGGTATGTTTGTAAATGTCCGTGAACAGAACAATTCCTTAGAATAGGATTCGGACCTATGGCCGGTTCACGGTCGAATCGACTAATCAGGTATGGTTTTTAAACCACGAGTTGTTTATTTTATTTCTAATCAATATATTATATACTGAAATATTGATGCTACTCATGTTCGTATAAAATATATTATACTTATTAGATGACATAATATTAAGCGATGCAATTGATAAAAAATTATTTTTATAGCATAAAAAGATTATTATTATTATTATTATTATTATTATTATTATTATTATGTGATATATAATGGGGTGGTTACACACATACCTCCAAATTTTATGTATTTACATGCAAAATAGCTAAACTTTGCATTTTACATTTATAAGGTTTAACACTTTCATATCATATCAAAAATATCACCATTTTAACTTTTAAATAGTGAAATATACATTTTCATACATAGTTAAGGTGGAATGCATGTAAAAATTGAAGTTTAAATGT